CAGGCTGCATAATTCATAGAATTACTTTTTAATTGTCACCCAAAGAGTCACATACAAAAAAAGTGCAGGAAATCTGTCCACAAAAACCAAAGAATCCAGCTGAGGGCCTGAATCCTATGGTAATATCTTGCATGAATCCAGCTGAAGACCTAGAGCCTATAACAATGCTGCCCAGAAGTGCAACTGGAGGCCAGGAGTCCACAACAATGTCTCATGCAGGTCTGTTTCATAGATCTGCACTGGGAAGGTCCAAAAGTCAGTAGTGGAAGCTAGAAAGTCTGTGCCAGTGGATAAAGGATCTGTGCTAGCAGGCTGAGGGATCTGCACTGGAGCCAGGAAGCAACACTCAAAGTAAGAACCAGAGCTCCCCCCAAATGTATCACAGACATCCTCAGCAACAGTGAGGTCCCAAGCTCCTCCGATGATGTGAACAGCTAAGTTCTCATCAGGAAAACCAGAGCAAAAAGCTTCTCCAGGAGACTGAGCAGTGCACCATCTTCCCCTCCAGAGCCAGGAAGCAATGCTCAAAGTGAGGACCAGAGCTTCCCCAATGTGAACTGTAGTCATGCCCGGTAACAGTAAGGTCCCAAGCTGCCTCAATGATAAGAACAACTGAGTTTGTCAGGAAAGCCAGCATGACAAGCTCCTCCAGGAAAACCAACAGCTCCCTACAGTGTCCTAACAGCTTCTCTTCTGCTCCAGTTCTGCCTGTTATGCTGCTGGCAACAATCATCAGGTAGGCCTCCCATACCCAGCACCATGCTTGTTCAGTTCAGCTGGGTGTTACAAGTTGACCAGTAGTTGTCAATCCACCACACCATGCTTGGGAAGTTTGACTATTACTTCTCTGAACAGGTTTTTAAGATGTTATTTGTGCAGACTCCTACATTTTCATTGACTCCAATAAGTCTTATATTCTTTTTTGTAGCTGTCAGATTGTTTTTTCATGGTCCCTTGCTATTTTTAAAAATCTTTCTTTTCATTATCACTAACAACAATCCAGTCTTCTAAGTCTGATAGTCTGTCTTCACTATCTTTGATATGTTTTTGCAAGCTTTCATGGAATTTATAATTTTCTGGATACCTATTTGAATGTGTTTTATGGATTCCACTTCTTTCCTATGTTGGGCATTCATGATTTCCATTATTTTTCTATGCTCCTCAATTATTTTCTATGCCTACTCTAGATTTGTTAAGCAAGTCTTTTATTATGGTGATCATCTCTCTTTTTTTTTTAATCTGTGAGATTGTTTCTGTTTTGATATCCTCTATAGTGTCATGTATATTTTAAAAATTTTTTCTACTGTCATTCCAGTGAATTCAAGTGGATGGCTTCTGTTTTCTTCTATCTCATTGTCCCCTGGAGTTGTCCTTGTTGGGCTAGAAGTGTGTGATTGCATTTTGCTTCTGCATCTTGTCATTTTCTATTTTTTAAATTTTGATTTGTTTTGTGTGTTGCTTGTATTTTTTCTTATGTTAGGTAGCTTTATTACTGGTATTGAAGCTTCCCTAGGAGATGTTTATTCTTCTGAGATGTCTTCTAGGTGTAGCTGGTTGTCAGTTTTTGTGTCTGTCCCAGGATCCTATACTCTCACTTCGTTAGGGATGATGTGTTGCTATCTATTTGGCTCAGCACCCAGTCCTTTGGTATAGGACTATGGGGCTGGTTGTGACCCCAGATTATCACAGTGTTGTTGTATAAGGGTAAACAATTGATTACAACAAATATGGCATCTTGGTTAAAGTAGTACTGTTAGTAATAATGATATTATCAAGCATAGCCTAGAAACTGATCATCTGTGGTGACTGCTAATTTGGTATTTGTAGTTATATAACAACCTCCAACAGCAAGATTTATAGTTATATAACAGCCTCCAAACATAGGCCAGGAATTCGTATGCAGTGCATTTTCGCTTGGTAGGATAATTTTATCCTGTGGGGAAGGGGAATTTAACAGGGATAGGGGACAAAACAGAGCAAAAGCTGAAGAGAAATATAGTAGAAGTAAGGCTGAAGGACTAAGGAAAATCTCTCAAATTTGGGGAAACTAGAGAAGAGGACAAGAGAGAAAGAATAAGGGAGAAAACAAAAGAGTTTGGAAACAAAACAAAAACGCTAAAGACAGTGTTTATTCACCATAAATGTCAGAGAATACCAAAGGACCAGTGAGGAAAGAGAGAGGCAGGGCAGGGAAAACAAACCAATCAACAAAAGTAAAAATCTATACAATCCCCCCAAATCTAAAAAATAAAAATAGAAAAAAATTATTTAAAATAATTCCTCTGAGGCCCCAGTTTGTTGTTAGTTCCCTAGCTAGAATCTGTACTGAATAATTCTGCCAAGTCTGCAGTAGGATTACTGCTGAGTGCAGGGCTGATCTTGGCCACACCACTGACTCCTCTTGCACGAGCTGGTGGTAAGGCCAGGGGAGTGCCCTGTCCTCAGCTACCCAAGGCCATTTACTTGGTTGCCAGGCAGTTGGTAGTGCCCTCGTCCAGCCCAGGCTGCTTGCCTTGAACATATCTAAGGCAATTCTTTTAAACTATTTAATAAGTTGATGTCTGGACTTCCACAAAAATGTTGGTTCATTTTGTTTCTTTGAGTGGACTATATTTTTGTCTCTTTGTATTCACTGTAATTTCTGTTGTTGTTAAAAAACTGGGCATTGAAAGAATAGCCAGTCTCCTACTCTTTCCAGACTGGCTCTGTGCTCAGACTGTCCTTCCTAGATTACCTGGGTTTTCTCTCAGCCTAGGGACCCATCCTAGGTCAAAGACCTTCTCAAGCCTTCTGAGTGTGTATCTTGTCCAAGTTATACACATACACACCTGCTTTTGAATATTTTAATTTCCCAGAGACCTTCATTCAGTTTTCTATAGTCTGTAATGTGCCTCCATGCAAAATCCCTTGTTCCAGGCTTCTGTAGATCTATGGTCTCCTTGTAATTCTCATGAGCTCTCTCTGTCACTTATCCCATGCGACATTCAAATTAGGCAAAACAATCCCTCCAATCTGCCTTCAGATAGGTAAGAATATAAATATATAAATGAGGTCAGTTAATGTCTCTTGATATTCATCAGATCTTGATGAGTCCTTCTGAGAGCCATTTTCATCAGAGAAAGAATTAATCACTTGTGCGTGCTTAGTGATAGAGTTGTAGAGTTGGGTGGAGATTTAAGAAGAATTTGTATTTATTCTTACAGGAGGCAGTCTAGTGTAATGAGTAAGGGCAGGGACCTTTCACCTTGGGCTCAGAACAAATGAAAATTAGTATGGCTTATTATTGGGAATTTATTTAACTTCTCCAAATCTCTTCTGTGAAATGGGTGTCATAAATTTAGGAGATTAGGAGACAACAAAATGATTTTCCTAAAAAATAACTTATCAAGTGCCTGTATATATACACAATCTTATGGAAATACTTACTATGTCTAATGTTTACCTGTGGAGGGACCACATAGAATTAATAATTCAATAAAGTCATAATGAATACACATTATTTTTAGAGTAGCCACCAAGAGCTTTCTGAATATTTTTACCTGATGTTTTTAATTCCATGACTTAGGTAGGGGTTTTTTGGCTCTCCAAACTCTTTCAGCAATTACAAAGATTAAAATGATAGTATTCAAGTTTAGCTAGCAAGAATGTGCTGAGACAGGTATGCACACACTGTTGACTGGAATTGAAATTGTTGTAACTTTTTAAAAAAGCAAAGTGGCACTGTGTGCCAGTAGCCCTAAAAGTGTTTACATCCTTTTACTCAGGCAGGCTATTGTAAGGAATCTAAGGAACCCATCAGCAATGCAGGAAAAGAGTCAACTATTATCCATTCATTTATTTAAAACGTACTTGATACTTGCTATGTGCATGGTGTTAATTCTAAACTGATTAAGACTAGCTTCTCTCTGATTAAGACCAGCTTTCCCTTTCTTTTAAGTGAAATATTGGAAATGTTATGAACGTGCAATAGGAAAAAAGTGGCCAAATAAATCTTATTCATCCATAAAGTAGAATATTATGAAGCTTTTAAAAAATAATTTGAAGAACTTTTAATAGATAATGTTTAATAGAAAAATAAATAATGTTATTTCAGAAGGCAAAGACTTTATCTAGCATATCAATTTTGTTTAAAAGATGTACAAATACACAGAAATAATCATGAATGGAAATATACAAAACTATTAATGAGTTATCTCTGATGGACTGAATTGTGATTTTTAGGTTTTCTTTGTGTGGTTTATATTTAAAAATTGAGCATATGCTACTTTCATAATCATAAAAGGTGTATTTTCAAGGAGAGAGATTTGGGGCTAGAATGTTTGCTGTGCAAGGAAAATGAGAGGTGCTTTCTCATGAGTGTTCTCTCATCCTGGGAATCAGGAAAGAGGCCCAGGGGAGGGGAGAGCAGGGAAAAGGAACAACTGTTTTCTGTTGTCTAACCTCTTCCCCTCTCTTTAAAAATTCTGTTATAGTTTATTCTACAACTTATGTTTGTTCATAATTATATTAATATTGTTGTTGTATATTAGTCATTTTTTACCTCTCTTCTGTCTGGCATAAGATGTGATCCATCAGTCCAGCATGATGGTGCTTGCCTGTAACCCAAATACTCAGAGGCTGAGGCAGGAGTATTGCTGCAAGTTTGATGCCAGCCTGGGTTACATAGTGAGTTCAAAGCTAGCCTGAATTACATAGTGAGATCTTATCCCCAAAAAAGATATGATCTACTAGTACAAGATATGATCCATTTTCAGCTGATTTGCTGAAAACTCACAGAACTAATTCTCTTTTCACTGGGATTCCTTTGTTTGGAGATAACTGGGGGTGGGAGGTGGCATTCCTTTTTCACTACATCGCTAATACCATCTGCACATAGTGGCAGCAAAATATGCCCTACCATTTCCTTTCTAGGCTTATTGTACTTTTGATTTTAGGTGGATGTTATTAGTGTCTTCTGGTCATTTTTGCAAATATGAGAATTGTGTGATTTTTATTTTCAGTGAAAACTATACCACCTGAGATTTTAAGTGTGAAGCCAGTTTTGGGCATCAAAAAAATGCTTCAGATAAGGTGGAAATCCCGTTTATCATCTAATTTAAAGTATATACTTCGATTCAAGACAGTCAATAGTACTCACTGGGTAAGTTATACCATTATTATAATATTTCTGATAGTGGATCCCAGGAAGAGATTCATGGACAACTTTTGTTGATTTGAAGTCATTGTTTTCACTTTCTACATTGAAAATAAAAGAAAACAATAGCGAGTACTTCAAAGTTTCCCATGTGTACCCTTTAGATTGGAAAAGTATTCTACCATAGCCATTTTACATTCTGAGCACAATGACATATTAACTAAGGAGAAATTTACTTTTGCATACTACTCTGGTTTGTGTCTAGCTATGTTAGCTGCCAGCAATTTTTTTTCCAATTTTTTGAATTAAATTTATTTATTTATTTATTTATTTATTTATTTATTTATT